GTTCCGCTCAATCAAGGCTTTAGTACATTATTATGTTTCATGAGGTCTGCTCTTTTCTCCAGGTGCATTCAGTCTCATGCAGCCCTCCTTCCTGTTTCTGTTTTAGGCCCTGTTGTATTAACTGTATTTTCACACTATATGTGGTTTTGGGAGGAGTTCTCTGTCTCACCTCTCATGCTGCCATCTTGAATCTCCACCACACATACTTTTTGAAAAAGCGTAGTCTCAAAGAAAAACATCAATTTAAACTTACATCATATAATTCATTTAACTGTATAAGTTAAATCCATAGGAAGTAAGTGAAACAAATACTATTTTCTTTCTAGTTCTGTTCTCTAATCCATACTTGTAGCAGAAAAATTGGAAGAATGCATGAAGGAAAGCAGAGAGGTATGTTTTTACCTTCTACAATTTCATGAAGCACATTGTTAAACCCTATGAAGCCAAAAGGGTAATATTCAAGTGCACTAAAGTGTAAATTTTCATTTATTATCTGTATGTTTTTTTTTTTCTCAGTTAGAACTGAGGGCATGTCTATTCTTCCCACTGGATTCAAGAGATCATTTTATTTTTTTGCAAGTAGTGCTTGAGTTGAGAAAAAAACAAGTGAAAATCATCCTTACATTTTTCTTTGGATGCTTAGTTTTGTCATACATAGTAGCAGAAGAACAGCACCCCATAGCTTTTTCTTACCTATGTTCATCAGCCCTAATCCTCTTCTGCCCATGCCCCATTTGCATCTTTTTCTTTCCTTCCCCCTCCTTGCCCATTTATCATCTCTCATCCTTGTTGTCCTTTCTATATTTGCCCAAACAGTAGCTCAGCTGAGCAAATGGATTAAGGAGTGCAGATGGCAGTGTCGTGGGGGAGGGAAGGTGCAGACACACGGCAGAGCAAGTCCCAGATATGGGGTGCAGAAAGGGACCTCCAGAAGAACTGCTTTCTTTCTCTCTCTTTGCCTCTAACCTCCTTCAAATCTAAGCATGAGGCTGTGATTTCAGTGTCTTGGAATAGAGACAGAGGTGAGACAAGCAGTTTGTAGGCTATCACAATAATTCTAGTGGTAGAAGATAATCGTGGCTTGCACCTGAGTTGTTGTGGTGAGTGTACAAGTAAATGCTTTTGCATATATTTTGAATAAAAAGGCAGTTTATTCTGGAAAAATGGAGGACCAAAGGTAGGAGAGGAAGGAAAACAATACACACCATGTCAAATGGATTTGCCATGAACTGAGATGGGAAATAGCACAGAAGTTGCTGGTTGGTGAGGATGGAAAGCAGATCAGGAGGTCGGCTTGGGACATTCTAAGTTGGAACCCTCTGGAGGAGAGCTTTTGTTTTTAACTGGAGTTCAGGGAAAAGGTCTAGGCCAGAGATGTGGATTTGGAATCATTAGTACAACTAAGGTATTTAAACCGCAAGATTAAATGAGATTACTTAGGAAGGACAAATAGATTAAAAAAAAGGAAGAATTTCAAAGACTGAACCTCGAGCATGCCAACACTAGAGGATGGGGAAATTAGGACAGGCAACAAGCCACCGCAGTGGAATATACACTCTGGAATACACGATCATTGTTTTACTTATATTTTGGTTAGGAATTAGAGTTTATGAATATTATTTCACTGCGTGCTTTGTTTTTCATTATGTCTCCAAAATCTGACACCCCAATAACAACACACACGTGCACAGTGTGGAGTATGTCTGTGTATTGTAATTAAATTGATGTTAAATAATTAAAATCTATTAAAGTGTAGATACACACATATACGTATGCATATTCTAATTCACTGTCTTATCAATAGAAAAATATTACAAAACTAATTTCAACATTCATTTGTCCATGATTTGCTCTATTATTAACATCCTATAAAATGTTTTTTTTTGTCCAAGCAAGTATTTTGCCTTTCTCTGGTTTTGTCTGAGTGATAGTTGATTTAAGTGTTTGGATTCAGTTTAAACTTCAGACAATTATAAAATAGAATTCAGCTATATTCTTTTTATCTTGATAATTAAATTATACTCATAACTTTCCATTTAAGAAGCTATAACTATTAAAATATATGACATGTTTAAAGAGTAAGGCACTAAATAGGTAGATGAAATTTATGTATACTTAAAATTATTTTGTGGGTGGTGATATTTTTTTCCCTAACATACTATTTCATCCTGGACATCAACATTGGGTTTTACTGTGGAAAATGAATCTTTCTGCTTCACTAGATAAGATGCTCATCATTAAAAGACTTGAGAAAACCAGTGCCTGCTGGTTTTATATAACTGCTCCAACAGAGAGAGACCGCAGAGCAGGGGACGGGAGTTATGGTAATGTCCCCTTCTCTAGGTGACTGGAGAATGCACTGAGGAGGAGGAGAAGGGGACAGGGAATATATTGGGAGAGAAAAGATGACAGGATGATTAAGAAAAGTAAGGGGAGGCCATCCTGGTAATGAGAAGAGAATCAAACTCAGCTTGGATGTCAATATGGAGCGCCACAGTAGCTTTGTCAAAGGCATATAAAAATTAGAATAAGTTAGGAATGAAGACCTTAGAATGTACCTCAAATAAAATAAAAAGGAACTTTGATCAGAGTCATTGAGTAACACCAAAGGCTTTACAGGAGTTCTTAGAGTCAAAACAATGGCAGCAGGTGTCTCCAAACGTGCTCAGCTGTCCAACTGCATCAGGATTTCCTGAGGTGGTTGTTATAAATGCTGAAATCTACTGAATCAAAATCTCTCTGTGTTGCCAGAGAATCTGTATTTAAAAAAATAAGCACCCAGGCCCTGTACTCATCCTCAAGTGAATCTCATGCCTGCTAAAATTTGAGCACCACTAATCTAGAGTAAGAACATGTGAGAACTAAATCTTAAAATACATGCATTTGACCCAAATGAAGAGGAGATTCCAAGGGAATTTGCAGAGAAATATGCAGAAAAAATAATGAAAGTAGATAATGTTCAGGAATAAAGTAACAGTGAACTGTTAATACAGTATGAGATGAGTAAAGAAAGAAGGCAATATTGATAGGGAAAGAGGAAAGACCACACATGGCCTGGAAAACTCTAGCTTCCCCAGATCTAACCCATGAGAGAGGACCTGGAAGTTGACACCAGAAAGCAAATTAAAATGGCAGGAACACAGATCAGTGGGAAAGGAGGGATCACTGAGTCGCTACCACAGGCTGCCGTCTATGCAGGGTCTGTAGTAAGTCCTACCATGCTGCAAGAGATGCTGGGTAGCCAACATCATTGCCACCTTGTGACCCATCAATACCTTTAGATTATCACTTTTTTTGCAAAAATAGCAGAGTGCTTTCATTTACTAAAGACTATGGTGGATTGAACTTTGTATCCGGTCTGAGCACAGATGAGAAGGGGGACCTCCCAGTTCATGATTTTTGTCAAAGGCTTTAGCACACTCTCACATGAGATCAGACAAATCAAAACGAGAGAGAGATAACTGGCAGGGACTATTGTTTTTTTCTCCTCACCATTGTTATTTGTCATTTGCTTGAATTTGCATTTAAATGCATATAATAAATAGTTATGGTATGTTTTATTTTTAAGCTCCTGCTTCTGAAATTTAAAACTCTACAAGTACAAAATTAGGAGAAAATTCTCTTAAGTGTCATAGAGGAGCAAAGTGTTTCTTAGCCTTTGTAAACCTGTACTCTTCATCAGCTTCTTGTCCTATCTTCTCAGTAGTCCAAACAGCCAAGGACATTTTTTTAATCATAATGACAAAGGAAATAACTAAAATAATGAAAATATTCACTATATGTTTGCAAAAGAATAAATAGTCTCCTTGAAGAAACAGATATTTTCCCCTCAAAATCACTAGGGAAGGGGAGAGGTCTTCCTAGATATTAATTTTCCTTACAGGATTCTAATATTTCAAAATAAGAGAGGTAATTATGGGAATGTTAATAATTTAGAAGGTACGTGTAGAGAAAATATTCAATAAAAAGTCAACATAGTTTGCAAGATATTATGAAAAGTGCTTTGACAGTTGGATATAGAGGTTCGTGAGCTAACGTTGTGCCAACCGTGGGAACACACCAGCCGGGACTTTCTTTCTCTTTGGCTGGTGTTTTGCTGTTTGATTCCTTTCCCTGCTATAGTGCCTCCTTCGTCCTTCCGAATGAATCTGACCAAAGATTCCTTCATTCCATGGAATCCTTACCCCAATAATGTGCCTGGCCAATTCTAAGATGACCTTTATAAAAATAAGTAATCTTACTAATTACTTCAATTAGTAATCAATTTTAATTATTTTACAAGCTGAGTGAGAAACCACACAGAACAAAAAGGGTGGTGGTAAAACAGAATAATGGGATTTTTGTATTATAAATGTCCTTTTCTATCTGAAAACTTTCTCCATATGCCACCTTGGCATTAATTTGTTCGTGCCTCACTTCTCAGCTACCAAAATTTGCTCTCCTGCCTTTCAAATCATGAGGTAAAATATCAGTAGTAGTTATTGAGTGTTTGCTCTGTGCCAAACACTATTGTAGGCATTTCTCATGAATGATTGCCAGTCTTACCACCATTTAGGATTGTTTAGATAATTATTCCCAATGTCCTAAAGAAGAAGCTGAAGCCTGCCTGAAGTCACCCAGCTAGTAAATGGTGGAATGGTGGAGCCAGCATCTATGTTCAGATTGGCCTGAATAAAAAGGCTCATACTTCTCCCTCTGTACTATGTGGCCTCAGGTGCATCGCACTAACTTGTTTGGAATACCAGTACTTGACATACATAATCACAAAGAATCTTCCTAGTGACTGAACATGGGCTTGATTTATTTCGCCTAGTCTTAAAAAATATCTTGCTTGTTTTACTTATTAAAAAACTCTTAGGACACCATAAAAATCTTATAGACTAGTTCTTCTTTGTTCAATAGGAAGTAATGTCATTTGGAGGTCTGTTTATCATTTGCCATCTGGTATTAAGGGCTGCAGATTCTGCTTTTTGTGTAACTTGCTTTTATCTCTGTTGCAGTACTGGATACCAGTTAATTTACTATTCACCTGAAAACACAGCCAAAGCAAAAGAAGTTCTCAGCAACATCAATCAGCTACAACCTTTGATAGCAACTCATGCAGACCTCCTGCTTAATTCTGCGAGCCAGCATTCTCCAGACAGCTTGAAGAATTCTTTAAAGATGCTTTCAGAAAAAGTAAGATCCAAATCGTCACTACAGTGGGGAAAATGAAATACCCAATTCCCCACTGGTGTTGCTTTCTGCATATATTGCTTTCATAGCATCTGGAAATGTAAAATAGACTAGGTTAAAAAGTAAGCTTCAAAGTATTCCAACAGTATCAAAATGAATTGGCCTCATTCTCTTTTCAAATTTTATTGAGCATTATTTTTTTTCCCCAGTAGGAAATGAAACCCATTATTGGTTGGGGTATATTTTCTCTTTTCCATAATATCTTTCATTTTCTTTGGTTCATGGTCTTATTAAATGAATTAAATTAGATTTTGAAATTATTTTCCTCTGGTGACCGTCTAAGTTTTGTGCATATGAAGCTATGCATTGGAATAGAAATGTCACTTCATCTGAAAGCAGAACTTTGATATAGATTCTTATTAGTGGCATGGGCTAATTCCTCTGCCTCACTTTGCTTTCTATGACATTATCTACTGGGAAAAGTCACAAAAATTTTCCGAAAGTATTGGCTATTATTTCAAATGTAGTGGGACCTCAGCCTTAATTTTTCCAAAGGTGACTTACACCTGCATATACAGGAGGAAAAATACTCTGGCATGCGGTAAATACTCAACATCAACTTCTGTAACTAATTAGGGCACCTGAATTATACAGAGAGAACCAAGATAGAAAAAGACAAACTATAGCTTAATTTTAAATGTAAAACCAAGTGTCTTGAGACCCAGTCCTGATACACTTGCCCTTAACTTGTGCATTCTGAGGATGTCTTGCAATTTATTATGAGATACTTCTGACAAATATGCCCTTGAAAAAACCAACCAAAGAAAATTCTGTATCATTTTTAGAATAAATTACAGGGTAGTTCTTCATATCCCTGAAGAACAGATTCATAGAAACCTGCATGTTATATATGTATATAAATATTTTATCCAGATATGTCAATTTGTACTCAGATATGTTAATACCTTGCACCTATTTAAAATTTTATTTTAAAATACACATTATCTTATATTTTTGTAGGATAAAACTATTATCTAGTTTCATTAAAAGTTAGCTAATTTCTATACAGAAAGGTCAAGTGAATTGGCTAATGAATTAGAAAGTTAAAAAATGAAAACCCAAGATTTCCAGCTCAGAATGCAGCTCTCCTCTGTGCCAGAACAAGGGCCTCCATCATGAAAAGGGAGGGGAAAAAATGACCCAAACTTTGCAAGTATTCACTTTGTCAAATAATGTGCTAGGGGCTTTATGACTTACATTATATCATTTTATCTTCAAATTGTGGGTACATGTTATCTTCACAAAATAAAAAGACTGAAGCTCAGAGAATTGTTTTTTTTTATTTAATGTGCAAAATTACACAGTTATGGTCAAACCCAGGAATCAAGAAAAACCAGCATTCAAATCTAGGTCTGGTTGACTGAAACGGAAACTCTTCCTGGTATCTTCTACATTGTGTATGTGCTTTGACATTTCCTTTTTAATTAAATGAGAAATTGATGGATAAATTCCTCAACAAACACTTAAGTATTCTAATAGTCAAGAAATATGTCATGGCTAGGAAAAAGGAAAAAAGAAGACAATTGCATACACTAAAATAATATTATTTCATTTTGGTTCATTTCTTTTATGGATTTGTAGATGAGGTGAAGTTTTTCTGGGTTTACCTCAGCAAAAAATCTTAGCAAATAGCGTATCACTGCAGTGATTACAGAGCAGTATTTATATTCTTCATGTGCATTGGGCAGAGATTTGTCATTTAATGCATCATTTACAACTTGCTGCAGTGATTTGGGTTTGGGTTGGGGGATAGGAGGCATATTTTCTCCTCCTTTAACTCAGCATTGCTCCAACGTTTTCCCCTTTGTTTTTCCACTGAGTAGACAAGCTCTGTCTTCTAATAAATCTGTCAGCCCTTGAACTAGGAGGATCTGTTTTTAAGTTAACTTGCAAGCCATGCATTATTTTAAGAATTTATGCCTGGAATTAAAAAACAATTCTATCTAAGTTAACAGAGTTTTGCAGACTCTATGAAGATGGTTAGCAGCTCATGGTTTAAAATAAAGTATGATCCATGAATGTAGCATTAAAGATACATAGTTTAGTGACATCTTAAATTTTAGTATAATTTAGTACTAGCAAGATTTGGCTTAAAATGTTTTGTTTTTAAAATGAGAGTCTTAAACGTTATGGATTAGAGAATAAAAATCCTTTCTTCATTGATGGTTGATGGTCCCCTTATTTCTTTTATTGAAAGTGCTATGTTTGGAAAATAAGTACTTGGGTTGTTTTCTTAGTAACTCATCCATATAGCATGTTCAGCACGTAACAGGGACTATGTTCATGCTAATCAGGAAACTCTGAAGGCTTTGTTGCCTTTGAGCAGCCAAATAGGGAGTAGTTCACTGTAGGAAGGTAGGCAGGGCTCAGGGCAGCCCATGGGTTGTGTGTAATAAGATGGCTTCTCTCCTCTTAGGTAAGACATTGCATCTGAAATGATAAGAATGGATGTATTATCAGATCAATATATATTCAGAGTCTGGGAAAAAGCAAAGGGCAATAGACAAACCCATCTTGCTAATGGGGTATATTCAGAGAGTCTCAGAGAAGGCAGTATTTGTAGATCCAAAAGAAATTCACAACATTTCTCCTGCTGATAACCAATATACAGGACTAAGGGTACAGCAAAATTTCATCCCTCTGAACATCTATTGGCAGGGAAAACAAAGAAACACAATTTATAAAAAGTAATAATGTTTACTGAATTCATATTATATTGTCAGGTACTGTCCTTGACACTAGGGTCACAAGTGGAATAAGACCTAGGTCATTTCTTCCCAAGAGATTCAAGGTTCTTGATGGTAATGGCTATGACACTAATGCTGATGATAATAATAGTCAGCGTTTATTGGAGGGTGAATAACTGTGAGTGAAGCACTATTATAAATTTTCACAGGTCCATGAAATAAATACTATTATTTTCAATGTTTTTAATCCTAGTAGTATTAGGAATCCTTTTCTTTACCTAGTAGATACTGTTAATATCCTCCTTTTATACAATATAGGAAATGAGGTGCAATATATATTTATATTTTGCCCCAAATTACATACCTTGTGAGTCTAGCTCCAAATGTTGTGAACTTAACCACTACACTATATCATCAAATGTTCCACGAGTTCCATGATGGACACTTGCATGTGGAAATAAGGAAACATGTAAAAGGTAGGCATGGGAGTGGAGAGTACAAAACTGAAATTACACAAGAATAAAAGTTTTCTGTTTTTCATGTCCTGATGTACACAAACTCAATTAAATTATCCCAATTGTTAATTTCTTAGTACACCTGATTGATAACTGGGTTTGTTTTCTGCATGCTAGTTTGTAAAAATTAAAGAAGTTATTTAATCTCATTATGTAGGGTCACAACAAAAGACAAGCTGAATTTAAATGAATAATTCTCATAGAGAAGACAAAGGATAGAACAAATATTTAACAGAAGATAGGAAAGGTTAATAATAAAGTGGGAAAAAGTCATTTTCCTTTTCTCTAGACCAGAAGTATACACTACTATGAAAAAAAAAGATAGAAAAGTAATGTAAAGAAAGTTGAACTGAAAAAATAAGGGCCTAAATATAGACAGTACATAGGTATCTCTCAAAGCTCAGATAAATGTGTGACATTAATTTAAATGACCATTGCATTTTCTGTTCCACAGAGATTGATAGACTTTGCTTAAAAAGTCATTATTCTTCTGCTCATCAAAAAGCAGTATTGAACACCTAACTATGTGTGATATTGTATTTGATGCTATATGACAAATACTACATAGACATGGCTCTTACCTTTACAACCTTAGAATTTAAAGGAATAGAGTGTTTCATAATATGAATTGTGATACCACTTAACATCTGTTAAATGCAAAAGAGCAACAAAAAAGATTTTGTCGCAAATATTAGAGCCTATCCTCACAGTGTATTTGAGAATACACATCTTCCAATTCCTAGTATCCTTTCAACCTTAAATAATACACTGAAACATTCTACTGTATTCAAAGAAAGAAAGAAAAAAGCATTTCATTATAAAACTTACCTGGGGATTTTCTTAAGAAATCTTTCGTTTTATAGGAAGTCAGTATGCTAAGAAGGTGAAGATGTATACATTATACAGAAAAATACTGATTATGTTGATAATTTAGATACTGAGAAGGAATTCGTATAGTTTATTCACTTCAACCACTCCTACATCTATTTTAGTCCCAAAGTGAACAGAGAACTTAATGAGCAGAGGTTCTTTTTCCATTTGTTTTTACAATTGGTGGAAATATTTATACGTGTGTGTGTGTGTGTGTGTGTGTGTGTGTGTGTGTATACACACACATACATTAGTAGAACAAAGGAATTTGAAAATAACTGATATAAATGGAGATGAAATTTCATGATTAGAACTTATATTTCTTTCCATAGTGCTCCTTCAAATAGTAAATATTTAATTGGTGATACAGGTAATTTTATACAAACAGTCAAACCTGTGTTCGTTAGAGCATTGAAAAAAGAGGGTAAAATAAAGATAAGAAAATAAAATAATTTAAGAATGAGATATACATAAAATACATGGAATTAGAATTTGTATTGGACAAAATGGATAAAGTAATTAAAAATAGGCAGCACAGGAAGATAAACTATGTGATCCTAATGATCACCTAGCTCTGGTTTTCAAGCTTTAGCATGAGGGGAAGGAACACAAGACAATACCTTCTCAAGTCAAGGAGATAGACTGGGTTCAAGAAGTCCAGGATGCCTAGAATTTTCAGAGCAGAGTACCTGAAAGGAGAGAGCAGCACACAGAAAGAGGTTTGGGATCTTTTAAATTGCTACCTGAGTACTGACCTGAATATGCATGAGAATAAACTAGTCAAATCCAGGGAAATAAATGCCAGAAATAAGCAAGCAAAACAATTACTGTGGTCACATAGTGCTTGGAAGAGCCTATCCTCCCATCAAGA